CATTCACCAAACCTTAGTGGCCCTGGACTCATAGCTATTGCTGTATGTGGTCAGTAGTGTGCCAGGAACAGCTCAAGCTGATTTGGGAAAACCAATTACTTGCAGTCTTCCCAACTCCAGGTCTGCTACAAACCAGGGTCTCCTTGTCACCAGGGTCCATTGTTAAGTACATAGGAGGAAGACACCAGAAGGAGGCCACTGAGATCAATAAACACACTAACAAAAGAAGCCAACCTTGAGACTATCTAGGGGAAAGGAAGCAAGTGCAGACAGTCATGAGAAATGAAGAAACCAAGACAAACAAGACCCTGTATTTAAAATGAGGGAGAACATGATAAAAGGATTATTTTGTCACGGAGCTGTTGTCATATATTCCAACCCATCAAAACAAACACATAACATTAAAATTAAAAAACTATATTAAACTGCATGTGGTCACAAGTCCCTCACTACAGGGAGAAGGGTTGGGTGGCAGTGTTTTGGTTTTTAAATTGAATCTTATTCACTGTCTCCATTCTGGCTTTAAAAGGATAGAGGGACAATTTTGGTTCCTGAGTAATTTGCAAAACCACAAAATTCACCTGCAAAAATATGAAAGCATGACCTATAATCTACCCATTTGGGAAACTGCAATCACACTGTTTTAAATCTTTGGCGTCTGGATTATTCATAGAAATGCAGCATTTCACAAGTGCAAAGAATCTTAAAAGAGGTACACCCATTTATTTTTGGTATGAAGAAATTCAGGCCACAGAGGCCAACCTGTCAAGAGATGATAACTGTAGCTGCCAAAGCTAGTCTTGGAACCCTGGGCACCTGCTTCATTCAATGCGATCTTCTCAATTCAGGCTGCACCCTAGGGCAGCAGATTCCAAAACTGAGCAAGCACAAGTAACATCTGAGGGCTTATTAAAACATCCCACAGACTCCACCCTCAAGGTTTCCCAATCAGTAGTGTTGGAGGGAAGCTCAAGATTTTATATTTCTAACTAGGCCCAAGGCTAACAGCAGTGGTCTGAGGACTGAACTTCCATCCCAAGGTCCCAGAAATTCAAAGTAGAGCTTTGAAATGAGTCTTCTGAGTTCTAGCTTTTGGTCTGCTACTTCTAGGAAGACTTTGGAAACATTACCCAAACTCTCTAAACCTCAGTCTGCAATATCCAAGTCTAGTTCAGAGGACTGAAAAAAAGAATGCTCATAAAGCACTAGCTTGTTCAAGCAGCTGGAGTATTTTTTCTTATTTGGGGACTAGGGATTGAATCCAGGGCCTGGTACATGGTAATATCCTGGCCTGACATAGTCTAAGGCAAGACATTAATAAATAGTAGGTACATTCTATATTAAAATTTCCCTAACTACATTTTTTCCTATAAACACTAGAATGGCTAAACTTCAAAAGATAGACAAGATCAAAGACTGCCAGAGATATAAATCAATGGAACATCTATAGGAGCTCTAGTCATAATAATCATAGTAAATAAGTCCAAAGGAGAAAGGGAAGTGGGAGGGGGAGGGGAAAGGAAAGAAGGGAAAGAAATAAATACAAGAAAAGGAAAAAATGGAAACAAAGTCTTTGTAAATAAGGAGGGGTGGAGAGATTGAAGGGAGGGTAGGGGAATGCGGGAAAAAATAAGAACCAAGATGTATCATGTAGAAGTACAAGATCCCAATGATGAATGTCATCATATTGTATACCTAAAATGTACCAATAAAATTAATGAATAAAAAAATAATCATAGTAAATAGTCCAATGTCCACCATCAGGCAAAAGGATAAAAGGATACATGTGTACAACAGAATACTACTCAGCAACAATAAAGAGCCAAGAATGATCTATAACATGAAATCTCCAAAATATTTTGTGGCATGTAAACAGCCTGATGTAAAAAGTACATACTACATAATTTCACTCATGAAGTTCAAGAATAGTCAATTGGTTAATAAAAGAACTCAAACAGCCTTTTGAAGGGGGAGGACATAACTGGAAAGGGACATGAGGGAAATTTTTGGAGTAATGGAAATGCTCTGCATGTTGATTTGAGTGATGACAACATGAGCATATGCATCTGTGAACACTCATCAAAGTAGATACTTAAGATCTGTGCAAACATGATTTAAATAGTGGACAACATGTATGCATGACATTACATGGCACCTATTAATATGTATAAATTTTATGTTTTTCATGTATCAGTTAAAGTTAAATTTCTAAAAACTCATCTTACTGCAGGTAAATGATACCTTAACACATATACATAATAACACATATGTAAGTAACAATGTGCAAACACATCCAATATAATTTCTTTAGGCATTTTGTGACAAAGGGGTGTACTCTCCAATTAAAATGAACCAACACTAACCCAGCGGGCCCATTTACATTGATTCCTTCTAGTCCAGTCAAACCTTACATAATCCCATTTGTTACAGACTATTTTGGTCCATCCATCTTTCCAGAGAATGACCATGAAATACAAAGAGCAGAATCTTCCCCACAAGAAGACAATGACGTTTCCTTACAGAAAATATCCAGAGTGCCCCTTGTCCTTGGCAGGAACTAATTTGAGGATCTAACAACACCAAGTAAGGTTTTTCTTTACTACATGCCAAATATGAGCCTACCTAATACGATAAGACATCAGTAACAAAGACAAAGTAAGACACAATTCTGTTGTCCAATTTAAATCATAATTTCAGTATAAAAGAGGGAACGGGAACAGAATACTGGTGAAATGGTTTCTAGGGCCACCATGACTAGTAATGAAGGTGGCAGACAAGCTAACTGTCCTCATGTAATTATTACATGAAATAACTTTCACAGTGTAGTGGCTTGTAGGCTATCCCAGTTTCCCAATTAGCATCTTTTTTCTATCCCATTACAGGTGGATCCACATGCATACACACACCTACTTCTGCTGTGAACAAAACTGTACACAGAGTAGTCTTGGGTGAAGGATGAACACTTGGAGACACGGGTTCCTTCAAACCTTCCAACTCTCCTAAGTTCCTTGCAGGAGGCAGCCGGAGACCACATTTCTCCAGGCTCTTTAGTGACTGGTGGGACAAAGGGGCTCAGCCACAGGCAGCATGGTACCCAACCCAGGACCCGTTAGATACCACCAGACTCCACTGAAGGGAAGGGGCAGGTACCCTTATCTGTTCTTCCTCTGTCTTTACTCCAAGTGGCCCTGAACTGAGATCTGGAGCTGCTCCTGTACCAACTGCTTGACACAGTATTTTCTCTGGAGCTTTATCAACTCATAAACATCCAAGTAATGCATCAAATTCATAATCCATGTTCCTGGATAAATAAGTAACTGCTCCAATTCAACTCAAACATAGCAATAATAGCTAATCTTTACTAAGTACCTACTCTGTACCAGTAACTGCTTGGGTGCCACCCCCATATTTGCTTATGTAATACCCACAAGTCAGTTTACAGCTAAGGACACAGCTTGCAAGGCAAAGCCAGAGAGATGTGCAATGAATAAGGAACAGTCTCTCCCTTCAAAGAGGTCCTGCATAGAAATGAACACCTAACTTGGAGTCCAAAGTAAAAAACTAGGGCCAGGGATTTAGCTCAGTGGTGCCACTGCCTGCCTCAAAAGCTCAAGGTCCCAAGTTCGATCCCAGGTACCAAAAAAAAAAAAAAAAAAGATACAAAGTAAAAAACTACAAGATACTCAAAAGGAGCGCAAAGAAGGAAGTATTTGTCCATCATGGCAGTATGGTGGGGACTTCTGGGAGGAATGCTCAAGTGAAGGCTAAGTACACAAATCTAGAGAGCTTTTCATTGCTAAGCGTCAGGCCTTCAGTTCCCCAAAAGCCAGGCCATCCCCTATCTCTTCCTCCATTTCATCTGGAAGACGCCTGTTTTTAACAGAGGACCAGCTCGGCCCAGCCATCCTATCTTTTGACACATTCCTCCAGCTGCTGCCTGTCTTTATGGAGGCATATGGAAACTTTTCATCATCTTTAACTCTGCCACCTCCCTTGGTGCTTCCACCCAGGAGAACCTGCATCACAGTGCGAGGCTGCACAAAGAATCTAAGGAGCATTCTCCCGTCATCAGATAAAGGCGGACCTTGCACATACCAAATAGAGATTCAAGGGACCTACCAGTTCAGAGGCCATCCCTTCTCTACAGCCCTCTGAGGGAGAAGGGTTGCTTCCGTCCCCGGTCACAAATCTGCCCCTCCTCCCATTCCCTAAGGAGGAGCAAGGACTTGACCACTTGGCAGTTGTACGACCTTGGGCAAGTCACTTAACTAAAGTCAGCACCCGTTTCCCTATTTGTGATATGAGATTTGTAAAAATCACTCCAAGTTAGGACTGTGAATCCGAACAAGATACTGCAAGTAAAGGACTTTACAGAGCCTGGCACACATGCTGATAATAAGTAGCAGCTATCTTATCGAGAGCTAAGACAACGACGGCAGGGTAGACTTGGCCTTGACTCCCGCCCTGAGCCCAACACCCTCTCCTGCCGCATCTGGGCCAGGTGGAGACAGGCGCGTCCACCAGCTGCGGGGTGAGCTCTCCAGCAGGCGGCTCCGGAGTCTCCAGAAAGTCCCGGGCCGGCCCACCTGCAGGGGTTGCAGGGTACAGCCAGTTTTCTGATGCAAGCGACTCAACAGTACCCCCGCCTTCCACGCGCCCACTCCTCCGGTCTGGAAACTTGAGTGGCGGCGTGAGGCGGTCAGCAGCACACGCGCTGCGTCCCCCGGTGGACTCAGGGGCGTCCACCCGTGCTGCCTCAGCCTCCCGGCTTTCCTTCAGACACGGGCGAGGCTGCGCGGCAGTGAGGGACCGAGACACAAGCTCGCGGCTCGGGCCTGGGAGACCTCTGCCCGCTTCCCCGCGCACACGCAGCCCCTCGCGAGCGCAGGTGGGCGGCCTTCCCCGCCGCGCCGCCACTCCGCGTGAGCCTCCAGCGCGCGGCCTCGACTTCTCGCTGCCGCGCTCCGGCGAGAAAGGGAGTCGGTGGCTGGGGCCCTTACCTTGTCTGACGGCTTTGAAGGTGACGGCCTCTGGGCAGCTGTCGAGGACACCCAGCACGTCGTAGAGCGGCAAGCCGGACACGCGGACGCCCTGCACCTCCAGCAGCAGCTCGCCCGCGCCCCCGCCGGGCAGCTCGGCCGCCCCGAGGTACGGGAACTCGCCGCGCTCCGCGCCCCCCAGCACGCTCAGCCCCAGCTCGCCCTGCGGTCCGCGCCTCACGGTGCACTCGCGCACCCGGCCAGTCCAGTGGCTCCTCTTCGGAGCCACTTTCGACATGACGGCTTGCACTCAGCCACGAACAGACACGCAAAGTGAAGGCGAGCAGAGCTACCGAGGCAGGTGCCGCCGGCCGGCCGCTCACGGGAGCGGCATGGTTCGGCGCCCGGCGGCAGCCCGCTCCGCACGCTCAGGCCATCGCGGGACGAACTTTCCGGGCGTCCCCGCGAGCTTTGTTTGCATTCCGGAGCCTCCGTCCGCGTCCCGGCGTCGGCCCGCCCGCCGGGCCAGAGTCCGCTCGCGCGCTCGGCTCGGTTTTCCCCTCTCCTTTCGTTCTCGACTCCAGCCGGCTTGCGGCTCGCGGCTCGCGGCTCGCGGCGGGCGGCTCCTGAGAGAAGCGGAGTCCGCGCGCTCAGCCGGAGCCCGGGGCCGGCGCGGGCGGGGGCGGAGCCGAGGCCGGCGCGCGGCCCCTTTAAGCCGAGGGAAAGGCTGGGCTTGTTTTGTTCCGCTTCATTCTGCTCCGCGCCGAGAGCCCGCCGGACCCGGAGGCGGTGCGCATGCGTCCACGGCCCTCCGCGCCCCGCCCCCCGGAGGGAGTCTTCCGCCGCGAGTCCCCGCGGGTCCTGAGGCCGACCTCGACCTCGGGGGAGCCTCGAGGATCCCCGCTCCGCCTTGGTTTCTCTCCGTCCGCTGCGGTCCGCACAGGCTTCGCGGGAGGACGAGGCGCACACGCGTTTGGCGGCTTTTCAGACTCGGGCAGTCTGGCTTCCGCGTTGACAATCCCCTTCAAACAGGGCGGGACGGGGCGTCCCTCGCTGCGCACTTGCTCACCTTCCGCAGCCCGCAGCCCGCAGGGCGCCCGAGCCCGCCTGGAGGCCCAGCGCCGGCCTCAGGTTCTGCGGGGGCCCGCAGCGCACCGCGCGCGCCCCAGCTTGGGGCGGCTGCCTCCCGGAGAGCCGCCGAATTTGCCGTCGTCTGTCGGCAAAGACTGGAAGAAAGATGGCAGAAAGGAGAGGGAAAGTCATAACTGAAAACTGTGCTTTCGGGAGCGCAACTTCCGGGGCCCAGTGGAAGTTTCCCCCTGTGCTGCGTATTGGCTTTTCCTTGGTTATATTGGGGCTTCCCTCCTTCCAGACACATCACACCTAGCTTTCCTGAAGAATACTGTAAGTCCATAAACCGACTTAATTGAGAAAGTAAAGAGCAAAACCTAATCCTAAAATAAAGGGACAGCTTGAGAAAATCCAAAGAATGTTTAAGTTACCCATTTTTAAAACAAAACCGGTAATACCAGTACCTAGCCCATACCAGTAAAATGGGCTAGGACCCCTCTGGGGGTGGCCACCTTTCCCCGGGTTTTCAGCCCCTCAAGAGAAGCATAAATATTCCCAGTTCCAGGAAACGTTTCGTCTCGTTTCTCTGAATGCCTGCACTTCACCCTTGATACTTTAAAAGTTCTGCATGAAGTTCCCTTCACGCCTCTTACTGACCCACCCTGTAAATTCTTTTTCTGCAAAAGCAGTCCTTGAACCTGCAATCTTGTTCTATAGGTAGGGTGGGTTAGGTGTATCATCTCCGCTTTAGCACCCTCCTCGACCCTGTCCAGGGACTGATGGCCAGGCCTCTGCCTGAGTAGGGTGGGGTTGGCCACCTTCGGACTGCCCGGGGCTAAGGTTCTTGGCTGGTGCTGCAGGCGCCCCCAGGCACAGGGCTGAGCAGCCCCCTCTCAGAATTTGTTCCAAGGACGTGACAAGAGCAGCGTGCTGGGGAGTAGTGGACAGGGAGATGCTTTCTAGGTCACCTCCAGCACTTTCTTCTCTTCGCTACGGATGTCTAATTCCGAGCATGGAAGGAATTCCAAGATACTAGGGAAGTGAGTTGAGTGACTTAGAGAGAATGGGATACCACAGCAGTGCCTGTTGAGGGGGGGATCCAGGGTTTAGGCTCCCTCAGCCACCTTTGTGTGGCCTTGAACAGGCTTCCTGACTTCCCAGAGCCGTCCTTTCCTGAAATTTAGGATGTGACAGTGTCTCACAGAGTACTTGAAGAGGCTTACAAAGTGGCACATGAAAATCTGATGATAGTAGTATTGGGGAAGAAAACTAGGAAACCGTTTGGTGTTTCACCTTAGATGATGATAATTCATTCTCTGCCTTCCAGAACTTAAAAAATACAAGTATACATTTAAGTATGTTTTTAAAGTACTGTTTGTAGAGTGCTATTCTGAGCTAATAAAAATACGGGGATAATGTTGATGTGTCCTAGGATATCCAAAAATTTCATTGCCTTGTCCTATCCTCCACGGCTGTCTGTGGTTAGAGGAACTTCATCTCCAGCCACTTTTTCCTGAGGTGATCTCATTATCTCAACCCTGATTGGATTAAGTGACCTGGCACTTCAGGCATAAACTCCCACACCCTAACACAGATCCAGCAGTCAGAATCTTGAAGACAGAATCCATCATCTGGTCTTTAGGGTCCCCTTAAGTGGTGCAGCTGTACAACATTCAGAACCACAGCTTTAGTGTCTTTGATTCCGAAGCAGGGTTTGGGGGAGAATAAACCTGCAATTTGCATCCCTCTGTCCAGTATGTACTCCAAGAGGGCCTGCAACTTGGGCAGTTTGGTTTACCGACATACTCCTAGTTCCTAGGATGTTGCCTGGTACTTCATCAATGCTGAAGTATTTGTCAAATGACTCATTTCACAAAAACGTACAATTTGGCATTCCATGTTAGAGCGAATTCTCAGATTCTCATGTTAATCCCTAGTAACCTTGACCTTGTGTGTTTCACCTCTTTACTATGCTTTATTCTAGTTACATATGGTCATTTGCCAAGAACTCCTGTACCTACCTAGCATAAAGGATCTTCCATCTTTCTGCCTCTCCCCCCAACCAGGAGCAACCTAAGGGGTGAGCGTGACCAGGTGGCTTATGATTCCCCACTATGGCAGCATCTTCCTGTTTCAGAATTCCAGGCGTCTCAGCTGAGAAGGAGAAAGATCTCAGAATGTAGCCCACCCCAGGTTTTATTTTTATTAGTTGATTTATTTATTTTGCAATTGTGGAACCTAAACCCAAGACGTTACATGTGCTAGACAGGCACTCTAGCACTGCTACATCCTCAGCCCACACTTACAAGTTTTAGATGTGTAGAACCTTAAAAGAAAGAGTACCAGGGCTGGGGATTTAGCTCAGTGGTTTCGCCGCCTGCTGTGTAAGTGCAAGGACCTGAGTTCGATCCCCGGTACCAAAAAAAAAAAAAAAAA